CCCTAAACCCGACACCCCTAAACTCTAAACCCTAAACCCGACACCCCTAAACTCTAAACCCGACACCCCTAAACCCTAAACCCGACACCCCTAAACCCTAAACCCTAAACCCGACACCCCTAAACTCTAAACCCGACACCCCTAAACCCTAAACCCGACACCCCTAAACCCTAAACCCTAAACCCGACACCCCTAAACTCTAAACCCGACACCCCTAAACCCTAAACGCGACACCCCTAAACTCTAAACCCTAAACCCGACACCCCTAAACCCCAAACCCGACACCCCTAAACCCTAAACCCGGCACCCCTAAACCCTAAACCCTAAACCCGACACCCCTAAACCCTAAACGCGACACCCCTAAACTCTAAACCCTACACCCCTAAACCCTAAACCCTAAACCCGACACCCCTAAACCCTAAACGCGACACCCCTAAACTCTAAACCCTAAACCCGACACCCCTAAACCCTAAACCCGACACCCCTAAACCCTAAACCCGGCACCCCTAAACCCTAAACCCTAAACCCGACACCCCTAAACCCTTTACCCGACACCCCTAAACCCTAAACCCGGCACCCCTAAACCCTAAACCCTAAACCCGACACCCCTAAACCCTAAACCCGACACCCCTAAACTCTAAACCCTACACCCCTAAACCCTAAACCCTAAACCCTAAACCCGACACCCCTAAACCCTAAACGCGACACCCCTAGACTCTAAACCCTAAACCCGACACCCCTAAACCCTAAACCCGGCACCCCTAAACCCTAAACCCTAAACCCGACACCCCTAAACCCTAAACCCGACACCCCTAAACCCTAAACGCGACACCCCTAAACTCTAAACCCTAAACCCGACACCCCTAAACCCTAAACGCGACACCCCTAAATTCTAAACCCTAAACCCGACGCCCCTAAACCCTAAATCCGGACATCCGACACCCCTAAACTCTAAACCGGACATCCCTGAACCTTAGACCCTAAACCCGACCTCCCTAAAGCCCGCAGCTGAGCCCTGAAGAAAACCTACTTAGAGGTTCATTGGACTTAGTAACTACCCAGGGTACTTTATAGGAACCCCTTAGGGGATCTATTTTTTCGATCCTCCCGGTGGTCTGGGTAGGGTTATAAATAAGGTAACTAGACTTCTAACTACTTATAACCCCCAATTAGGGTACTTATAACCTTACTTACCAAGTCCCATGATCCTCCAAGTAGACCCTAAACCCTAAACCTTAATAGTACCCCCCCCTATAGATCCCTTAAAGGGCCCCTTATGACCTTACTTTCTAAGTCCCATGATCCTCCAAGTAGGCCCTAAACACCGAGCCCCGAGACCTTGTAGCCGTACCCTTGAGTCAAACTCTGGGGTTTAGGGTTTAGGGTTTAGGGTTTAGGGTTTAGGGTTTAGGGTTTAGGGTTTCGGATTTGGGGGTCTAAGGTTTAGGGCTTCGGATTTTGGCTTTAGGGCTTGGGGTTTAGGGTTACTCACGACTCGAATCCAAGCACCCAAGACTTTCTGACCCACAGATCTCGGAGACAAGAGGTCTGAGCATTCAATGCAAGCTCAGACATCGATGGCACAGCAAACAGGTTTTGATATTGGGTCTTTTGTTTTTGGTCCATAATCGGCCTCAAGATACAAGATTAACAAACCACCCATGAAATCCGAGGTTAAATCGATGTAAAGCCTTTTTGAGGTTGGGGGGGCTGTGGTGTTTAGGGTTTTAGGGTTCGTGGGGCTTTGAGGTTGGTATGTTTCGACTGCAGGATAAAGGGTTTAGGGTTGAGGGTGTTCAGAGAGTTCTCTGATTTCCTTCGCCAAGGAAGCAGCAGCTTTGGCGATCGCAGGCGGGGGCGCGAGATCAATCCTTTCAGTATCAGCTTCAGGCCAAGGCTATTTTCGACCCCCCCCCAGCCCCAGACACCGCACCCAAGAAGAAAAAGACAACTAAAACCCCAAACCCTAAACCCCAAAGCCCCCTGAGCCCCTGAGCCCCTAAACCGCCTAAACCCCTAGACCCCTAAGCCCCCCGAGCCCCCAAAACCCTAAGCCCTAAACCCTTAAGCCCCAAAGCCCTGAACACCTAAAGCCTAAAAGCCTAAACCCTAAACTTATAAGCACCAAAGCCCTAAAGCCCTAAACCCCTAAACCCTAAAGCCCTAAACCCTAAACCCTGAAGCCTAAACACCTAAACCCTAAACTCATAAGCTGGCGACCTATGCTAAGGTAGAACCCATGGGCCCCTAGTATGGGCCCTTACCCCTGGGACCCTAATATACCTACTATATACCCTATATATACCCTTAAGGGGCCCTAGAATCCCCTAAGGGCCCATGTTAGGGGCCCATGGGTTCTACCTTAGACCTATGCCTCAGGCCACTTCGTTCTTGGCTCTCCTGGCCGCCGCTGCATTGGCCTTGCTGAGACTACGCGGGCGCTGAGATTTTCACTGTGCTTACCTGCATTGGTACTTTGGGGGTTTTCGGGTTTAGGGTTTAGGGTCCAGGATTTGGGGTGTAGGGCGTAGGGTGCAGGCTTTAGGGTTTCGGGTTTAGAGTCTAGGGTATGGGATTTAGGATCTAGGATTTCGGGTTTAGGATTTAGGGCTTAGGGGTTAAGGGTTTAGGGTTTAGGGGTTTAGGGTTTGGGGTTTGGGGTTTAGCATGTGCAGTAGGGTGTGGGTTTATGGCGTTGCAAGGCCTTTGTTTCGTTGCTGTTAGGTCTGGGGTCTAGTTTTAACTTAAGGATCACTGCACGTAGCAAGCAGGTTATAGTCGAGCTTGTATATACCCTCGGTGGGGTCGTCCTTCTACTCTCCGTGTGCATGATCTGCGAGGTACTAGGGTTCGTTGCAGCATTTACAGGCATGGGGGGGGTTCCAAAAACGGAGGAAGTATCAACATTATACCCTAAACCCAAAACCCTAAACCCTAAACCCTAAACCCTAAACCCAGGTCACCGGTTTGGAGACCGGCATTGTGGAGCATCTCATGCTAGGGAGCAACCGCTCCAGACACTACTAGGTACTTGGAGGATCATGGGACGTAGCAAGTAAGGTTCGAAGTAACCGAGTTGGGGTAATAAGTAAGTAGTTACAACAATAGGACTTAGTAAGTAAGGTTATAAGTACCCTAGTTGGGGTAATAAATAATTACAGCAATAGGTTTGTACCATATCCCCAGTTACTAAGTCCCATGATCGCCCCGGCAGGTGCTCTGAGCCTGATCTTAGGCCTAAGCTTTGGAGGTGGCTAGTTTTCTAAATTCGGGTTCCTTTTGGGGTCCT